TGCACTCTAACCACTGTGCCACCTCGGCTCATAATAAGCATAATAGGCACCAGCTAGATGAGGGAGAGCTAACTCTTTGTAGACTTGATTGGTAAGTGATCAATATTTTTTATCAATTTAAAGAACTAGATTTTAAATCAGTATAAGCAAATATATTCCTGTGCTGCTGTTGAGCAGAAGAAAAGACTCAAATTTTTTTTAAAAAACAACTTGGTTTGATTGGAACTTCTTTTTGAATTCATTGTGTTTCTTTTTACCTTCTGAAAGACACGTACTGCTGCAAAGATCTCCCATCAAATCTTTTTATGTGACATAGATATTTACTTTATTTATGTTGAGGGTTCCTATATTGCCATGTATGAAAAATTTATCATGAACAGCAATTTGCTTGGGAAGCAGTTGAAAGAACTTTGTTGGGTTTCTTTAAAAAAATCACAAAAAAAAGGGTAGAAAACTCAACTACAGCCCAAGGTCAGTTGAATTTACTAAGTATTTAATAAATAAAAGAAGTCCATGCACTGAAGGAAAAACCCAATAAAAAACATAAATCTCAAACACTGATTCAAATGATGATGTGGCATTCACGTCATTTCATCATGTTGCAAATTCTTTGCACAAAGACAATTAGTCACCAGGAAGAATATGGTATTTGGCTTTTTCTTACTTTCCTCCCCCTCTATTAGTAAAACTGTTACTATTTTCATGGGAGGCATTCTAACCTTTGAGCTTCCATTTGTCTCTGAGGCAGTGGTGAAATTCAATTTTTTTTACTACTAGTTCTGGTGGGCGTGGCAGGGGGAGGATACAGCAAAATCTCCATTCCCACCCCACTCTGGGGCCAGCCAGAGATGGTATTGGCCGGTTCTCCAAACTACTCAAAATGTCCGCTACTGGTTCTCCAGAACCTGTCAGAATCTGCTGAATTTTATCCCTGTTCTGAGGTTTGCACAATATGCTACCTTCTGATCAAGTTTAGCAAATTAATTGTCTAGGTCAGGGCTCTCCAACTGTGGCAGTTTTAATACTTGTGGACTTCAATTCTTCAAGCCAGCTTTGCTGGCTAAGGAATTCTGGGAGTTGAAGTCCGCAGTTGTTAAAGTTGCCAAGGCTGGAGACTCCTAGTCTAGGTTCATTCAGTAGTATACCAGTCAATAGTCTTTTAGCTCAGTGAGTTATAGGAGTACAGCCAGATAGGGCAGAAGTGATTAACTCTTTAACCTGGGTTTTATTTAAAAAAAAAACCTTATAAAACTTATAATATGTATTGTAATATAATCTTATCTTCTTTTCTCCAACTTTATAAGGAGAGGAACTGCAGATCATGTAGTTTAACTTCCCACTAGGTGGCAACAATCAGCTTAGGCTTCCCAATTTATATTAAACTGAGTCCAGTTTTACATCAGGACATTTCATACAAAATGTTGCATTTTTTATCAATTTTGGTTAAATTTCTTACCTTAATGATAGATCCATGGATCATATAATGTAGGCCCGGGGTGTCAAACTCAAGGCCCAGGGGAGGATCTGGCCAGAAGGGTGCTTAGATCTGGCCCGCGGAGCCAACCTGGAAACAGCAAAGGACTGGCTCACGGTGCCTCTGCCAGTGAAAATGGAGCTTGGGAGGGCTGCAGGCGGCCCTCCCCAAGCTCTATTTTTGCTGAGAGAGGGTTGCAGGAGGCCATGGCAGCCAAAAACAGAGCTCGGGAGCCCGTTTTTGCTGGCAGAGCGCTTGGGCCACCAGGCGCCCCCAACACAAGTGACATCGAGCTGGCCATGCTCACCCCGACCCCCCCCCCAGGTCAAACGCAACCCTGATGCGGCCCTCAATGAAATCGAGTTTGACACCTCTGATGTAGGCTTTCTCTTGGATGAAAATTATAAAGGTAAATTTCCACTTTATTTATCTTTAGGAAACTCAATTTTTTTTTGTCCATGGGCTACACTTAAGTCTTTGATAAATACCCTAAACTTGTTATATACTCTGATTCACATTATACTTCTAAATTAATGGGTAGTTTCTTTGTTTCTCTCTCTTTAATTGACAGTGATGGCTTAGACACTAAGTGACTCAGGTCCCATACAGTAGCAGATGCCTTTGTTCATCTGTCTTCTGTTTCTGAAATGTTAATAATTTGAAGAAACACTTGACCATCTATTTAACTGCTTCAAGAAGATTGCACAGACAAACAATGGCAGGACAAAGTAGTAACAATGTTGCATTGGAATATCTGCATGTTAATACCAATTGCCTGCAAGCAAAAGCTGATGGTGCTACAAAATAGACAAAGTAATAAAAATAGGAAAAAGCTAAAAAGCCTCTGCGACTTCAGAAATTCAACAGATAACACCTGCTGCATTAACAACGCAAACTCATAAACTATTGATCAGAAAGACGTTGCAGTATCTGTAGGCAGCAGAGAAATTCTTTACTTGGAACAGCTCGCATTCTGCAACAATACCTTTAATACCATCAAACAACATCTGCCTATCCCACATCCTGGGGAAGAACTTGAAAGGTGGATTAAAATGCTGCATCCATTTTAAAAACCTGGCTGGCTGTGCGACCAGCCATAAAAAATAATATATATATATTTTACTGGGCTAATGAGCGACCCAGAAAAATCTATGAACCATTACTGAATTTGTCATCTTGCTTCAAAAACAAGCTCGGGGGTGGGGATGGAGGTGAAAAATGGGCCTGTTTTTCGCAAAAACAGGGTGTGCAGAAGGTTTGAGAAGTCGATAGAGTGCTCCTGTGGGCTGGGGAGGAAAAATGGGTCCTTTTTCACTTTTTTTTGCCCTCCCCAGTCCCCTTAATTCTACTGGCCTCCCAAACCCACTGCGCCTCCATTTTTGCTAATAATGGGATGCATGGAACGAGGTTTCAGGAGGCAAAAAATGCTGTATTCAGTGGATAAGACACACCCAGATTTTCACCCTCTTTTGGGGGGAAAAGTTGTGTCTTATACTCCTAAAATACGCTAATTAAAGATAAAATAATTCTTATGCATTCAGAATTCTAGAGTTTACTGGCATAACTCTATCACTCTAAGCACCATACTGGTTTTAGCAGAGATTCTGGTATTTTGAAAACACGATGTTTCAGATCGCTTTTAACATTCAAAGTTTTTCATGATCAAAAGAACTAGAGAGAAGTTTCCACTACTATTTAGACACCATGTTCTATTTAGATGTAGAGGTTTAGCAAGAACCACTGTAACAATAAAGTGCTTTTATTTTTAGAAACTTGTAATTTATTGCATACTGAAGAAACTCCCCTATATTTTTCTTAACATTACAGTTCTGTGATTCAGTTTAAATATAACCAGGAGAGCCTTCTACTTAGCAACCACAAAACAAGCTGTCGGAGAGTTCTCTCCAGAGCAAATTGTATCATACAAGTAAGCACTCAGCAGGGAAAGCCTGCATTAGATGACTTAACACTTTCAAGTAAAAAGACTGTGTCGTAAAGCACAAACTCAATAGCTTTCCTGTTATTGTTCCAGTGGTGGGTTGCAGGCGGTATGCCCCGATAAGAGCGTACCGGTGCCTGCTAGGAGCACCAGGTACCGTGCTCTGGAGGGCCCATCTGCTCTTACTGGTATTTGAGCTGTTTGGGGCTTCCACACACGCGCACGGAGCATATGGCGCCTGCGTGATGCTCCGCTGAGCAGCTGGAGCATTGCAGGCAGTAAGTACGCATGCATGTGCTGTGCACATTTATGTGGTGGATGCCCGGCCCTGTTGCACCATGCCAATTGCAACGGGATCCAAAACCCACCACTGTATTGTTTGTAATTTATGATTTTAGCTATTTGTTTTTTTAATATTCTATAGTTTGATGGTTTGCTTCACTGTGTTCTGTCACTTATAACCCGGTCATCTCGTATTTGCAACACTCTCTACATGGGACTACCCTTTAAGAGTATTCAGAAGCTAGTTAGGGGCTCCTTGGGTGGCCCATGTAACACGGCTGTTGCATGAGCTGCATTGCAGATTCCTTGATTTTTGTCAGTTATTAGTTCTGTTTGCTCAGAGACATCTTCAGTTTGCCATACCTCTTCTGGAAGCCTCACAGCTGTGGCAGCAATTACGATCCTACTTCAGTTTTCCTTTGCTTTACAGATCTGTGAAAATTGTAAATACAAGGACTTGTTGCAAAGTTATTTTATTATTGTCATAACTGAACAGTCACTAAGTGAGGCAGTTGCTAAATGAGGTCTATCTATATTCGACAGGAATCAATTAGTGCAGTTCAATGAAGATATAGTACCTTTGTTATATCAATCGCCATCATACGAATAAAAATCTTGCAGACTTTATTTAGATATGCATATATTATTCATTACTTATGATTAAAGATCTCAAAGGTTGAAAAAGATTCAGAAGTCTAAATATACAATGGAAAAGGTATGCTGCAAAATGAGAATACACATACCTTTCCCAGTGAAATATTTGGTCCTGTAGTGGGAACTGTTCGATTAAAATTATCCATTTTTTTTCTAAAAAAGCTACCAAGAGATACTGTATTTTTCGGAATAGAAGATGCTCAGGACTATAAGACACAGATTTAGAGGATCCATCCAGTTTTTGCCTTCCCGCACCTTCAGAAGCATTTTGCAGGCCATAAACAGGCCCATGTTTGGACTCCCGAACCCTCCATGCACCCAGTTTTTGGCAATAACATGCCCATTTTTGACCCGCTGAGCACCTCTGGGGGCCGGTGAGGGCGAAAACACGGCACATGGAAGGCTCAGGAGTCCAAAATCGGGCTGTGTGGAGCACTGCAGCATGCTTCTGGGGGTCGGGGAGGGTAAAAATGCAATATGTAGAGGATTTGGGAGCCAAAAAATGGGCCCGTATTGCGTGTATAAAATGCACTGAAATTTTCACCCACTTTTAGAGTGGGGTGTGTGTGTCTTATACTATGAAAAATATGGTAATTGGACTAAAAGATATAAATAAATGAACGCAACCATGAAAATATGACATACCAATAATTGAAATTTTTAACAAACTCAAGTTTATTGATCAAGGAATTACAGCTATAATATTTTTGAATATGAAATTATTCTTGAAAACTCCAACAAAACACTTTAAAAACACCAGTTGCTTGACTTGTACTATGGATTCATCTCAAAGTCTCAACCATTAACTTCCCCCAATACAGACTTACATTGCATGCAAGTAAAAACTGTAACATATACATATCCCTGGATATTTACAAAAGGTCAACACTGTATCAAAAGTTTTAAAAAAATTAAAAAAGAATTGCATATGAAGAACTATCCCAACATGAAAATGCAGTAAATAAAAATAGTAACACAAATTATTAGTTTCTGATGTTAAAATATTGCAACTTCATTAATCTGCTTAGCGTTGAAAACAGGCACTTCGTTATCATCGTGGTTGGTTTTCCATTTATCAGAAATATTAAATGGAAGCAGCTGTTGTAATTAATGTAATTCACAAAAAAATAAAGCAAGACAGCATCAGCCTACTAATTCTAGTGTAACTTTTCCAGCACATGGGAATTGAGCTTCCACAGATAAATCAAAAGAAAGTAGTAATGCCTGTTTCTTCGTAAGCTAATTCTTAAATTTACGATTGCAGTGTAATCCTAAATATGTTTAATCTGAACCTAGTTCTGGTGTATTTCACGGTTCTTGCTTCCTGATTAAGAAGCATGTTTGGACTGGAATCTCCAAATGAAACTTGATAGGCATGGGAAAAAAACTCTTATGCCAAATTAGGAATTGGAAATGAAAAATCTTTATTACCACTGAAAATACAGTTCAAGCTATGATAATAAAATTACTTTGAATTCAACTGCTTTTTCCTAATTTATCTACTATTGAATTTAAATATGAGTGCATTGAAATATATGGCATTTAAGGATGAAACGGAAGAGATGCAGGAAAGATAAAAGAAAAAAAATTCACAGGCCTATTAAAAATATTCTTTGATAAGATAGAATTCTTATTTTGTTGTCCACTATTCATAACTGAATACTTTGATAAATGCATATACTCCCCACAGTGGCTCATAACAGTTAATTAATTGCACCAACATTTACAGTGTTGCACATCCCAGTCAAATTTTCAGGTTCCATGTTTTGTCACCCAACTAATTCATAAAAGGTGCTTTTCATTAATATAAATAAATATTTTTATACCCACAAATCTTTCTCATTCACAATCCAGATTTGTAATAATTTACTATGAGATCTATTACAGAATAAAAACCTTCCTGACCTCATACTCTTCCCACCAAATGTGACATTTCATCTAGTGAAGTGTTAAACTCTTTTTCATAAATCTAAATAAAAGGGTTGTGTATTGCTTATTATAGAATACCAAACACATATGCGCATATATTTAAGATCCAGCTGATTTGCCATATTGAACTAAGATATGTTTTTTTCAGTGTCCTTGAAATTCTGATAATAATAATAAAAATATTTTTAAAAAAACTGTCTCAAAATGTAAGTGTTCCATGAGAGAAACACTGTCCTAACCATCAACGTTAGGAAAATGATTATACAGATAACTTTGTGATTTATTAAATCAATGGAGTTATAACAGAAGCAGTTTCAAACGTAGAATCCTCTGGTTGGGCAGCAGAGAGGTGCTAGGAGTGTCCATAGGTAGAGAAGGACACACACCCAGCAAGAAGCCATTTTAATCCAGAAAATGGACCAGGTTCCAACGAAGAATTTTTCAATTGCAGCATTTTCGTAACTACAATGAAAGGAAGTGGAGGTTACCTAATTTGCTGTCACACAAATCAATTCGAGAAGGATGATGGTCCAATTCTAGGAGGACTTATTCTAAAGAAACTGTACTGATTGTCCCTGGAAACTGTTTCCTCACTCTAACTAAGAAATGTGTGTACATTCAAACACATTTATTACTACTTTCTCCCAGATAAGATAACACCTGCATATGATTCTGCTTTCAACCAATTTGTGCAGGCCAGACATCATGAATTTAATTTTATTACATGTCTTGTGTGATAAGAAATGTGATTTTATTAAACCATTTCAGATTACAGTTCTGTAAATGTCAGCCATCATTCATTATTGTTAATTTGCAGTGCAACAATTAAATCTAAAACATTTACTTTTGAAACTTCTATTTGATATATCCTGTTTCCAGAAACAGAAAGATGGTTTCGGCATTTAAAGTATCTAATTGCATCATCTCAGTAATCTTTATATAACTGGCCAGAATTATTTACCTGATATTACAGGGAATGAGGCTTATGCTGAAGGAATAATGAGTTGTCTAAAACAGTGTTTTTCAACCTTTTTTGTGCAAAGGCACACTTTTTTCATGAAAAAAATCACGAGGCACACCACCATTAGAAAATGTTAAAAAAATTTAACTCT